CTTTGATACATCCAACTTTATATAATAAAATGTTTATAAATACGGTTGGTATATTCTATTTGTTTAGCATATTTGTAAGAGTTCTCATTTATAGAATATTAATAAATTTACTGTTTATTTTACAGTTGTAGAGAATAACATTTATTTTGTAGGATCATAATACGAAACACCTCAAATGATCATAAATTTCCTTGTAACACTTTGGTTTGATAATCTGATGGCTGAGATTATGACACGAACGAGGATAGGTGCCATTTGAGGTTCTGACCTATTAATAACACCTGGGTAAAAGTAGCATCATGAATAAACGCGGAACTAAATCTTTGTCCGGAGATTCTAGTCTCTACACGAGGTCGATCTCTGGGCGTATATATTTTTTCATGGAAATGAATATGTATCATCACGCCTTCTACATGACATCAGAAGAAAAAATCTCCCACGGAACACAATACGAGTCCTCAAATCCTCTTTTTCTATCTCCATTGGAATCCAAAACCCTAATAGACAGGAGTGTACCGATTCAAGACAACACCAAGAAAGGGTTAACAAATCCAAAATCCTCTTTTTCTATCTTCTCTTTCATCTTGTCTCTTCTCTCCCTTTTCTTTTCAACAATGGCTGCTCCTAACGGTCTAGTTGACAATGTCCAAAACGTCCTCAATATCAACATGACAAATGTCACAAAACTTGATTCAAACAACTACCTGATGTGGAGCCTCCAGGTTCACGCTCTTCTCGACGGATATGATCTTGCAGGCCATCTCGATGGATCCACTACTTCGCCGCCTCTCAACGTCATGGTTAACAATGCTCCAGCTGTTAATCCCGCCTATTCTCTCTGGAAACGTCAGGACAGACTCATCTACAGCGGTCTTCTCGGAGTACATCAGGGGTCTCACAACACGATTTATCAACTCACCCTCCTCGGCAAACCCGTTGATCATGAGGATCAAATCGAATTCATCCTGGAAGGTTTATCCGAAGGCTATAAGAATGTTGTTGATCAGTTCGAAGGAAGTGATACTCCTCCCCTCACAGAAATACATGAGAAGCTTCTCAACAGAGAAGCAAAGATCTTGTCTACGTCTCTCTCTTCTGACACGCCCATGACAGCAAATCTCGCCAACACCAGACACACACATTCTCAGCACAACAACAATCAACGCTACCATCAACCGCGGAACTCACAACGTCCGCCATACAACAAAAAGCCTGACAATCAGATGACAAGGGGCTATCAAGACAAGTTTCAACTCTGCGGGGTCTATGGGCATAGTGCAAAAAGATGCTCTCAACTTCCTCAGCAACACTATGTTCCACGGAACAATCAGCAAACTCATCCACAACGTCAGCACTTGGCTCATCTGATCCAGCAACATCATGGATCATGGATACAGGCGCCACGCACCACATGACGAGTGATCTCCACAATCTAGCAATCCACCAGCCATACACCGGCGAAAACAAAGTTCTCATTGGTGACGGTACAGGTCTTGAAATCTCACACATTGGTTCACACTCTTTACCTTCTTCAACTCGACCCCTTAACCTCAATAATATTTTCTGTGTCCCTCATATTCACAAAAACATAATCTCAGTGTATAGATTATGCAATACTAACAGAGTTTCAGTTGATTTTTTTCCTGCACACTTTCAGGTAAAAGATCTATCCTCGAGGGTCTCATTGCTCCACGGCAAGACTAACGGTGACCTGTACGAGTGGCCCTTCTCCATCGCACCAATCACCCCCTACTTCGCTACCTCTCCTCAAAAACCATCACTCACCAAATGGCACTATCGCCTAGGCCACCCTTCATCCACCATTCTCAATAAAATTGTCTCCAGTTCTTCCCTTCCTTGTTCACAAACTTCTACTTTAAACTCTCTATGTATCGATTGCTCAATCAATAAAAGTCACAAATTACCCTTTCACCAAACTTCTATATGCTCAACTCGACCTCTTGAATACATATTTACCGATGTCTGGGTTTCCCCTATAACCTCTTGTGACAATTACAAGTATTACCTCATCCTCATTGACCACTACACACGCTACTCTTGGTTGTATCCCCTCAAAAGAAAATCACAGGTCATTGATATGATCAAACCTTTCAAAGCTCTCGTCGAAAACTGCTTCAACAACAAGATCGGAACTCTCTACTCCGACAATGGTGGGGAATATATTGCTCTTCGCCAATTTCTAGCAAGCTCGGGAATCTCGCACTTCACGTCTCCACCCCCATACACCCGAACACAATGGGCTCTCTGAAAAAAAGCACCGTCACATTGTTGAGACAGGGCTTTCACTCCTTACTCACGCTGGCATGCCCAAGTCGTACTAGACGTACGCGTTTGCCACCGCCACCTACCTGATCAATCGATTACCAACACCAACCTTACAGATGGAATCCCCATTCCAGAAGCTGTTCAACACCACACCGAATTACTCAAAACTTCGAGTATTTGGATCGCTCTGTTTTCCGTGGCTCCGTCCGTACAACAACAACAAACTCGAGAACCGATCCACGCCATGTGTATTCATTGGATACTCCCTGACCCAGAGTGCGTATTTATGCCTACAACCGAGCTCCGGCCGTATATATATCTCTCCATGTCAAATTTGATGAATCCTCATTCCCCTTCACGTATTTAAACCAGACAACACCCACCTCAAGCTCCATCCCCTCACCTCCAAATCATTGTCCCGTCGAATCCATTCCTCTCTCATCACCACTCGTACAATCACCGTCATCGCTGCCGTTGCAGCAGGAACCGCCATTGCTAGATCCTCACCCGGTCGTGTACTCGGAAGGTAATTCTTCTTCCATAAACTCTATTGCTAATCTCGACACTGAAACAGGTAACCCAACCCAACTTTCTCAAGAAGCCCATCCAAGCCCAAACACTTCCACTGAGGCCCAAACCGACCCATCTACTGAATCTGAAGCCCAATCAAACACTTCCTCAAATTCAAACCCCGATCAATCACCTTCCCCGATTACTCAAACACCACCACAACCTGCAAACCAAATCATAAACCCTCCTCCACCTCTTCCTCCGATACACCCCAATAATGTTCATGACATGAGAACAAGACGAAAGGACAACATCGTCAAACCTAACCCAAAATACCAACCATCTGCATCGCTTTCCACAACCATACCCCCTGAACCTCTGACCGTGAACCAAACAATAAAAGATCAAAATTGGAGAGGCGCTATGTCTGGAGAAATTGATGCCTTCGCTGTGAACCAAACGCTCGAGCTTGTACCACGATCACCAAATAAGAACATTGTTGGCTGTAAGTGGGTGTTTAAGAATAAATTTCATTCTGATGGATCACATCATCGTTGTAAAGCTCGTCTTGTAGCTAAAGGTTACAATCAGGAGCTTGGTCGGGATTACACAGACACGTTTAGTCCCGTCAACAAATCCACCACCATTCGCCTAGTTCTTGACATCGCAGTCTCCAAAGCATGGCCGATACAACAGCTCGATGTTAATAACGCGTTTCTTCAAAGAACGTTAAAGGAAGAAGTTTATATGGAGCAACCTCCTAGATTCATTGACCAGGATAATCCGACTCATGTCTGCAGACTCAAAAAGGCCATCTATGGCCTCAAGCAGGCTCCAAGAGCATGGTACACCGAGTTGAAGACATATCTACTCAGTCTCGGCTTCCAAAATTCTCTTGCCGACACCTCACTCTTCACGTTAAGACTTGGCAAAGATCTTCTATATCTCTTGGTGTATGTTGACGCCATTCTTGTCACTGGCAGCAATAAACTCACCATAGCTCACATCCTGAAGCTACTCGCAGACCGCTTCTCAAAGATCCGGAAGACTTAAACTACTTCCTCGGTATCGAAGCTAGGAGGACTACAGCAGGACTTCATCTCTCTCAAAGGAAGTACATCCTTGATTTGCTCCAACGCCATCACATGATTGATGATAAACCAGTAGCAAGTCCAATGGCCTCCTCCCCGAAACTCACCATTCACTCTGGTGCGTCTCTCCCAGATCCCTCTGTTTATCACAAACTCATCGGCAGCCTACAATATCTCGCCTTCACGAGGCTCGACATTGCCTACACTGTTAATCGCCTATCACAATTCATGCATCATCCCACACAAGACCACTGGCAGGCGGCTAAACGGATTCTCAGATATTTGGCAGGAACAACGACACATGGGATATTCCTCTCCGCCAAGAACACACTCACGCTTCATGCCTTCTCCGACTCAGATTGGGCTGGAGACTCAGATGACTATGTCTCCACCAATGCTTATATTATCTATCTCGGGAGTCATCCGATTTCTTGGACAGCCACACAACAGAAAGGAGTAGCAAGGTCTTCAACAGAAGCAGAGTATCGGGCTGTTGCTCACACATCCGCCGAAGTTCGCTGGATCTGCAACATTCTCACTGAACTTGGCGTCACACTTCCCACCACTCCGGTCATATATTGTGATAACATCCGTGCTACATTCCTCTGCGCTAATTATATTTTTCATTCTCGCATGAAGCACATTGCTCTGGATTACCATTTTGTTCGAGGACACATTCAAAACAGAATGCTGCGAGTCGCTCACGTCACGACCAAAGACCAACTTGCTGACGCCCTTACAAAGCCGCTGCCACGCACAAGATTTCTGGAACTTCGAAACAAGATTGGCATCGCTTCCGCTCCTCCATCTTGAGGGGGCGTGTTAAGGAAACAAGATATCTCTGCTAATTATGACGATCATTCACATATAGTAGCTTCTCTAAATACTAGACCTACACCTCTCGATCGTGTACATATATAACTCTCTGTATCTTTCTCAATAATTAATAAGACTCATTTCTTACAGTTATTACCTGAATCGATTTCGAAATCGGGCTGTAAGATGGTTTATATCTGGAGAGACTCAAAGGACAGCTTTATCTCCATGTGGAGTTTCTTACAAAAGGAACAGTCTGAAAATGGCCCACTCAATAGTCTTGAGAAGTGTTTTGATATGTTCTGTCAAGGTTTTTCTTGGTACGGACCTTATCTAGATCATGTCATGTCGTACTGGAAAGCTTACCAAGAGAATCCAGATCAGATTCTGCCCCTCAAGTATGAGATGATGAGGGCTGATCCTTTGCCTTACATGAGAAGATTGGCTGAGTTTATGGGATATGGATTCACATCCGAGGAAAAGAAGAAAGGGGTTGATGAGGAAGTGGTGAATCTTTGTAGCTTTGAGACGCTGAAGAACCTTGAAGCAAACAAAGGGGAGAAACACAGAGAGGACGTTCCTATTAGTGCTTATCTGAATAGTGCATTTTTCAGGAAAGGAAAGGTCGGAGATTGGCAGAACTATCTGACTCCGGAGATGGCAGCTCGCATCGATGGATTGATGGAAGAGAAATTCAAAGGAACCGGTTTGCTTGAGCATTGTAAATGATCCTTATATACTTCGTTTAAATCTCAAGTTTATATTTTTGTTTTCTGTTTGATTCTGTGTGTATTAAGTTGTATATTGCAAGAATAAATCTTGTTTCTGTTTTGTCAAAATGTACTGTTTCTATAAATCTTGTTTCTGTTTTTGTCAAAATGTACTGTGTCAAAATCTTTGCATGATGTGTGCAGTCTTGATCCTATGCAACTTGTGATTTTTATCGAAATGTATTTTTAAGAAATGTATAAATTTAAGAAACTAGGATCATAAATCAAAGATCTTTCTCTTGTTAAAAAAAAGTGATACAGTGATACAGATATCTCGAAAGATGGTCTCGATCCAAATCTCTTGGACACATACGCATTGACTTTTTAGTACTCAAGTCAATGCGTATGTTGCATGTTGTTCACAATGGTGCTTTGTACAACATGCACCACTATGATAAGACAAGTCACACAGTTTGCTTAACCAAGTATCCCAAGTTTCACGGTTGGGTCCATAGCCTCTCGACAAGCAGTCTCGACCCATCTTGGGTATGTCAAACCATGAGCGCCACTTTTTTGTTGATGTCTTCATACAATTGTTTAAAAGAATTTTGTTCTCTTCATCCAGTTCATTATAAGAAGATAGATACCAGTCAGGACGTGAATTCAGATTTGTTGTGCAAGAGAATAAATAGATTACAAACAAGAACTATTTTTTTTTTGTGATTTGTCTATTTTTCAGTTATGAAGAAATACAATTATTTTAGAGGAACATAATACCAAACACCTCAAAAGATCACCAATTTTCCTTGTATCGCTTTAGTTCACGTCATACACCATTCCCTAAGATCAAATGGCTGAGATTATGACACTAAGAAGGATATGCGGCATTAGAGGTGATGACATATCGTCCCTAATCTAAAGTTTGATTATGTATGAGGTTTGTCTTGCTATTTAATATCTTTATATAGGTTTTTTTAAAAAAAAAAAATCTTGAGATCATGTACTTTTTACCTTTTTAATTATGTTTCATGGTTTTGTTTTACATTTTTGCATAAATAATGTTTATAAAATTAATTGTGGTATATTCTATTAGTTTAGCAAATTGTAAGAGTTCTCATTTATAGAATACTGATAAATTTAATAATTTTAAATAGGAAAAATATACATTTATATAAAAAGAATAAATTGGTTAATTTAAAAGGTCATATTGTAAAACAATGTCTCAGGATCTTGCAGAATCTCATATGCCATGCTTAAGACCAAGGCCTCTAGAGACGATTTCTTCTGCCCCAAGAAACAACATAAGGAGGTCTACGGCGTCTGCGTGGGTAAAACTAACTTCATTCTCTAAACTCATAGGAGGCTCTTGATGAGATGTTTTCAAAGGCGTGGTTTTGGGAAAATCAAAAAATATTAGGGTTATTTTTATTTTTGCAGTTGCATAGTTTGCTGATTAACAAAATTAGGGTTTGCAATCGGAGTATATATACCGTTGCTGATTATGGTAAGGATAACAACTCGTGGGACATGGTGGCTTGGGGTTATAGGGTTTGTTTAACCAAGAGTCCTAATTGTTCTATACTCCTGGCAAAGGGTCCTAAAGGCAAGCTTGTCTCTCCACATATGTGGTAACCGAAATTTTGATAGACCATCAATAACACAAATTCAATTACCCATCAATAACACAAATTCAATTACCCCTACAGGAGAATCTGTTATTTTGAAACCAGTGGAGAAACCAAATGCCTAAAAACTGAAGTCATCAAACAAGATCATAGCCAAACCAGACTTCTCTTTCTCTTTGTTATCCTTTAGCTGGTTCAGCTTCTTCTCTAACCAATCCACCTTGGGGCTATAAGGTTTGCTTAACCAAGGGTCCCAAGTGTTCACAGACCGGTCTATACTCCTTATGGTAAAGGGTCCTAGGGGCAAGCTTGTCTCTCCACATATGTGGTAACCAAAATTTTGATAGACCATCAATAACACAAGTTCAATTACCCTTACGGGAGAATCTGTTATTTTGAAACCAGTGGAGAAACCAAATGCCTAAAAACTGAAGTCATCAAACAAGATCATAGCCAAACCAGACTTCTCTTTCTCCTTGTTATCCTTTAGCTGGTTCAGCTTCTTCTCTAACCAATCCACCTTGAAGCCTGCGTCTTTCAAGTATGTCAGCGCAATGTCTGCTTCAACAAGATCTTCATTGGAGAGCTCCTCAAGTGGCTGGCACACGTCTCTATTACCCTGAGCAGAGATCATAGCCAAACCAGACTTCTCTTTCTCTTTGTTATCCTCTAGCTGGTTCAGCTTCTTCTCTAACCAATCCACCTTGAAGCCTGCATCTTTCAAGTATGTCAGCGCAATGTCTGCTTCAACAAGATCTTCATTGGATAGCTCCTCAAGTGGCTGGCACACGTCTCTATTACCCTGAGCAGGAAGCTCATACACGCGTTCCTCACACGTTGGTTCTTTGCACGGAACTCCGCAGCAATGTCTGGGTGTCTTTCGAATATAGTCTCACAGATTCTACATGCGAGTCAAACCAGATGTACACAGAAGATAAATTTAGGTTTCAGGTTAGAACTTTCTCACTAATGGAAGATGAATCCTCTTCTTACCTGGGAAGCCAAAACCTCAAATTGAATCTTCTGATCAAGAACATCATTACAAGTCTCCTGTGGAACAGATGCCACCACAATGTTAAACCTCTTATCACCATTTTCTACTGTTTTAGAGGCATCCTCCAAAGACTTAGAGAACTTCCGTTTGTAGCATTATCTTTGGTAACAACAGATGAAGCCTCGTCATCAACATCTTCTTTAGGTGCACCATCATTTTCATCATCATCATCATCATCATCCCCACTCTCTTCAGATTCATCACCATCATCAAGATTCTCGTTAGATGCATTCTCAGTTTCTTACCCACTTGAGAATTGGAGACAGATGCATCAGAAGCTTGATTTCCTTCTTTGCAACTCAGAAAAGTCGCAGTAATCTGCACAGGTCCCATTGGGCTAACAGTAGCTGGAAGAACTTTTACTTCAACGATGATAACGAGTCTGTTGTTCACCAGAAACCCTCCACGTTTATCATGAAGTTTATCAAGTGACAAAAACTTACTAAAACCCCAAATGTTTCTCTTCCCATAGAAACAGCATTGCTCTCCTCATATTATATCAAAAACCTAAAAAAAAAAAAGATTGAAACTTTCCATAAAAAAACTCAGCAAATACAGAGATTCTACTGAAATCACATGACAAGGACTATAGAGCTTAAAAGGTAGGAACGAATCAACACACACATAGCACAATCACAAGCCCAAGAAAGAGATGCTTTAACTAAATCAAGAAGCTAACCTGATACTCTGTTCGATTTAGGGTTAAGCCAGAGCTTATTCACAAGAGTGAAGGTAAACTAAACGTTTCTTGTCCATCCTCATGGTGGAGATCCAGGAACAAGTTCCAGAAACAAGGATAAGTAATCGCCATTACTATATACACTGGGGTACGCAGAAAGACGCCTGTACAACAGAACCCAAGCCCAATCTAAAATTCAAAATTCCACAAAAGAAAAAAACGAAATCGTTTGATTGAAGTGTTTTCTTTCGTCTTTTACCATTCGCAGCCGGCGACGGCGAAGCGGCAAGAGTAGAACGTCTCATCATTCCAAGTCACATCTTTCCAAGAAGAGAAATTTTCCAAAACCCAAGTGAATTTCTTCTCAGACATGATGAAAAGTTATCGACAGTCAGAGCACGGACAATGAGAACCCTAAAGGCTGATTCTGATGCAACAATTTGCTTTTCAGGGTTAATGGAAAGGGAACAAAATAGCTTCGTGTTGACCAAAAAAAAAAAATAGTTTCGCTTTCTCCTTGTTTATAGCTGAAATTGTTGAAATTTAACTGACCGAATACAAACCGAACCAATTTATATTAAATCTGAAATAACCGAACCGGACAGAAATCGAATTCGAAATTAAACCAAAATGCCTACGCTTACTTTTAAGATTTGTTATCTCACCTCCGGTTCAATTCAGATTCATAGTTGGGCCTTGTGAACTTGTGATACAACAAAGCCGAGCCTCTTTCAATATGGGTTTTAGGCAAAATGTGATGTTAATTGAGGAAGAAAAAAACTATTAGTGTAGAATTGGGAATGTTGGTTTACTAAACCAAACCAAGTAGCTATTGTATCGGTTATCTTGGTAAACCAAATCACTCCTCATATACTTGAATGTAATCGATTCCCACATCGAATCCAGTGTATCCATGGAGATGTCTGATAGAGTTTTGATATGTAGAAGAAGAGATCGAGATGAAGAAGATGTTTATTGAAGAATCAAAGAGTACAGAGATGAAGAACAAGATCTCATAACTATCAGTTCATCGAGCTCATCACGCTCAATACCTCAGCTCAATAGCTTCCGGTTTACAAATCTATACTTTGATAAATTGTAACAAACTCATTAACACTCTTTTAACACTCCATTTCTCGACTAACAAACTCCAATAACCGTTGGCTAGTTGAACCGTTGGCTAGTTCAGCTGCCACCTCATCTTTGAATATCCCACCATATTCTTCTTCTTCTTTCAGTAATATGTCTTGTGTAACATATCAATATTCTCTCCGTCAAGACCCAGCTTGCCCTCAAGCTTATAAGAAGGAAATTGGTTAACAAATTCACGATATGGCAGCCACGAATTTTCATGATCCAACAAGCCTTGCCATTTCACCAAATACTCTAATCCACCCGTAGCATCGTAATAAGACGCTAAAATATCTTCGGGCGTCAACACCACATTCTTCAAGTCAGATGTAGCTGGTGTAATAGCTTGTACCACTTGATCACTCCCCAACGCTGCTTTGAGTTGTGACACGTGAAACACCGGATGTATCTTTGCATCCTGTGGTAATTGTAAACGATAGGCCACCTTTCCCACGCGCTCTAGTATTCCATAAGGACCAAAGAACTTTGCTGTCAGCTTCTGGCAAAAACGTTGCACCACCGTTTGTTGCCTATATGGCTTAAGTTTCAAGTACACCAATGTGCCCACTTCAAACTCTAAATCCCTCCGATTTTTATCAGCCTGAGTCTTCATCAGTGCTTGAGCTTTCAACAAATGAGACTTAATATATGTCAGCATTATATCCTGCTCATGCAACGACTCTGGAGTTCAAAATTGTGTGTAGAGCCATCCTCAAAACGCACAATGGCCGGTGGTTTCCTACCATAAACCACCTGGAATAGAGTGGATTTCAACACTGAGTGGAAAGACATATTATACCAAAGCTCTGCCCATGCTAAGTATTTGAACCATGTTCGAGGGTGAGCAGATGCACAACAACGTAGATATGTCCCCATATAGCAACTCAAGACCTCTGTTTGACCGTCTGTTTGGGGATGGAAGGCGGTGCTATACTTCAGCTTAGTTCATGATAAGCGAAACATATATTTCCAAAAGCTGCTGAGAAAGATACGATCACGATCAGACACGATTGTTTTAGGAAAATCATGTAGTCTCACTATCTCTTGCATAAACTTGTAGGCCACGTCCACTGTAGTAAACAGATGTTTCAAGGCAATAAAGTGACCATACATGCTTAGTCTGTCAACCACAACCATCACCACGTTGACCCCTTGTGAGTTTGGTAATCCTTCCACAAAGTCCATTGAAATATATTCCCATACGTGATATACTACGTTTTTAAGGCTTTCTAACCCAAGGTTTTCAATGTTTTTTTGAGTCAAAGTGTGCTTTTAAAGATTTTTAGTCTTTCTATCGAGTCTTTTCAGGATTTAGATTGCTTTGGAGAAAAATAAATTATTTTGGGTGCAAACAAGCATATGTAGATGCAGAACTGTGCAGAGACGCCTGAAGTTTCGCAATCGTTGAAGTACTTCCCACCAGTGGATCGTGCTTATTTCTGGATACAAGCTAAATATTTGATTTAGCTTTTATTTGGAAGTAATTTGAAGGCGATCCAACGGTGCAATCTAATGATATGCTAGTTTTCGTGAAGACTGTTCAAACCGACCAGTTCATTAATGCAGAAAAAACAAAATTCCGAGTTTTCCTATTTTCACTCGGTTTTGGAAGGAATTCAACCTAAAACGACAGAGGACCTATATATACTCATTTTTGGCCATTGTTGCAGCCACCTCTTATTTTCTATTCAGACTTTAAGCTTTTTGCAATTTGTGAGTTTTCAAGAGACGATCTTTCTACTCTGCATCTCTGAGAAGATTTCTGAACCCCAGTTGATTTCTATTTTATTTATTATGAATTTCTCTTCATCTTTCTGCTGTTCTTCTTCCATTTCTGATTAATCCATTATTTAGGTTCAGGGTTTCAAAAGAATTATGAATCATTGAAATGGACATAGATAGGGATTTATTCATTTGTTGTCTTCATCTATTGTTGCGCCCACTGCTTAGACTGAATTGATCACTTAGTCTCTGATCTAGGGTTTAATCTATCCATGAAAGTGTTTTAGATTGCTTGATAGAACATAGGTGAGCAGATTGTCCTTAGCCAACGAAAGCTGATGTTAAGGCAATCTGTGAACAAATCGAACCAGTTCATTAATGCTTGTTTAGAATTTTAAGTTCAAACGAAAGTTTAGATACTTAGGTTACTAGACAAAGTCCCTGATACCACGGCAGTGGATTAGTTATATATATATATGTTTGAGTTCAAGACTGTGCTTATTTGTTCCCTGAATAATTGTATGGTTCATGATTTCCGCCCTTGTCCTGACGCCTGTTTTAATTGATCTTTTACCAAGTTTATTAGCTATTTTCGTTTCACTACCATCCAACTACCCATATTCTTGTCTTAGCTTCACTTCATTCATTAAGAATCATAGTGTAACCTTGGTCTCTGTGGATTCGATCCCATCTATATAAATGCGATTGTCTGTGCACTTGCAGTCTTTTATTTGGGTAAAACCTGAGTGTATCAAGTTTTTGGCACCGTTGCCGGGGACCAATAGCGTTACCTGTGAATCTAGGACTGAAGTTCAGTCTAAGATTTACTAACTAGTTTCATCTTTCTCTCTTTTGGATTTCAGGTGTATGCAGAGAAGAAGCAAATGCTCTGACAACCTTCTTAATCTCAATAACCAGGAACTTGCAAGAACAGAAAGAAGTAACAACAAAGGAAAGAAAAAGAAGTCGAATCAAGTCACAATGGGTGATAACATCGACAACCAAGCATTGGTGGAAGCTCAGGCTAACCAAGCTGCAGATCTCTAACATGTGCAACAACAGCTGAATAGTTTGTTGCAACAACAACAGCAGCAGCAAGAGCAGCAAGGTATTGGAGATGTGGATACACCTCACACTTCTTATAGGAACAGAGCTGCCATTTGCACACCAGCTATTGAAAGAGCAGATTATGAGATAAAACCTCAGATGATTGCACTTGTAAAGCAACATGTGTTTCATGGTCTTTCTGCTGAGCTTACAATGGACCACATTGAGAACTTTGAAGAGATCTGCAGTACAATAAAGTCAAATGGGGTACCTGCTGACTACATTAAATGCAAACTCTTTCCATTCTCTTTAGCTGACAAAGCACATAGATGGCTCAAATCCTTTCCTCCTGGATCTTTGACAAGCTGGGGACAAACAACATTCTTGGAGCACTTCTACACTAAGTCCAAAAATGCTTCTTTGAGAAACAAGATCACCACCTTCAAGCAACATTCAGGGGAATCTTTCAGTGAAGCATGAGAGAGGTTTAAGGATTATCGCAGAAAGTGCCCTCATCATAGGTTTTCAGATGAGCAGCTGCTTGGCATCTTCTACGATGGAGTTGAATGGGAATACAAGAACAACCTCAATGCTGCAAGCGATAGGAGATTTCATGACCAAGAGTATTGCAGGAGCATAACAACTGATAGAGAACTTGGCTGCAAGTTCCAACAATCGCTGCTTAGAGTATGATAGGTCCAGACGTATCAGCAGTGTTGAATCACATAAGATTTATGAGCTTAACGCAAAAGTGAATATGCTGTTGAAAGGAGATCAGAGAAGTGTGCAGCTCTGTGAGGAGAGAAGAGATGCAGTTTTCTGTCAGAATTTTGCTGCAAATGAGACTGATGAGCTGCAGGAAGTCAAATATGTGAATGTACAGGGATTCACAAAAAATAGAGGATTCAACCAGAACTACAGACTTCAGAGTGGGTCTCAGCAGCAACCTTTCAACACCTTCAAGCAGCAGCATCCGCCCCATTCCAAGCTCCATCAAATGGTTCTCAAGATGAGCTGAAGGTCATTATGCAGCAGCTCTTACTCAACCAACATAAGTATGCGAACGAGATCAATGTCAAAATGGATCACATGTACAATGATCTTAATAGCAAGTATGAAGCAGTGAGTGCTCATGTGAAAAAACTAGATACTCAGGTTGCTCAGATTACATAAGCCAACAAGAGATAACCTGGAAATCTTCCTGGAAAGGTTGAGACAAACCCAAAAGAGCATTGCAATGCAGTAATGGATCACGAGATTGCACCAGAGTTGGAGGCACAAAAAGTTGTTAAGACTGTTGCTGATTCAGATGAGAGGTCCATTTACACAGCTCCACAGTCATACACTCCTAAAGTCCCATATCCGATGCCACCTAAACAACTAAGGAGTTCTATTAGTAAAGAGAAGCTAGCTGGTTTTAACAAGATGGTGAGAAGGATCCCACATCAAGTCTCGTTTGCTGAAACTTGGGAAAGTTATCCCTTGTGTGATTTCTTTAGTTCATGCAGAGAGAGTCTAGCAGATATTGAGGAACTCTTTAGCAAAGCAAAGAGTACACCACCATCAATGAGGAAATTTCTTAAGGTAGAAGATCTTGGGAAGTTTGTTGTTCCATGCTCTATTGCAGGAGTTGAGTTTGAGCAATCCTTGTGTGATTCTGGATCTAGTGTGAATTTTATGTCAAAAGACATTGCATAGAAGTTAGGAATTACAGTTATCAACCCTCCTTAGATGACTCTCACATTCGCCAACTCTTCCACCACAACTCCTTATGGTACCATTCCAGCCATACTTGTTGAGGTGGAAAATTGTATAGTGCCTATTGATTTTCAGGTTGTGGAGTTGGGCAAGAACTCTGATATGCCTCTGATTCTAGAAAGACCATTTATGGCCACAATGGGAGCAATTGTTGATATACCTAATAAGAAAATCTCATTCTCTAGCATTGCAAAAAAGGTTTTCTATAATGCTGTCCCTGCTGTTGGAACTGTCAATCATGTCTCTTGCATTGCTGAAGCCACTATTGATAAGCTGGCACATGTTTCTGACATGGCCAAGGTGAATGAGAAGGTGGAGAGCAAAATGAACAAGGGAGATCCTCATGTGACTTTAATACCTCAGAGTTGTGATTTAAACACAGTTGAGTATAAGGTGAAGTGCAAAGTAATCCCAAAACCTTTCTCTAAGTTTGGAGCAGTTCTTACATCTGAG